AAAAAAAAAAAAAAAAGAAAGAAACAGGTGGTGGGCTGACGCTTGCTGACCCTGACCCAGGTCATGACTTGTGGTTGCCCAGGTCCCAGTGGAGTGACCCCCTCCTGTGCAAGGGCACCCCGCCACCTGGGCACCAGGTGGAAGTACCATGCGCTGTCTGCCTGGCACCAGCCCCTCCCTCCCAGCACTCCTCCATGGCAGAGGTGAGGACACAGGGTAGCCTACTGGGGCCTGCAGCCTTCGGGGGAAGATCTTGTTACAGAGGAACCCGCTGTGACCACAGACCTCAGCGTGGCCAGCTGTGGGCACCGGAGCCCAGTCTGCGCTTGTTCTTTGCTAGTACCCAAAAGTCAGAGTCTTACCACGTGAATGTGGTGATTTGAGGGAGTTTATTAGATGCAGAATGAACTAGTCATGTGGCCGTGTTCACACTGAATTCTGTCAGTTGCTCTTTTGTGGGGTGATATGTGCGCATAGCAGCCTGGGTGACTCCAGGGCCTGCTTCTGGTTGGAAGTGTGTGGTCATGGTCGCTCTTGCAGGTGCTGTTGGTGAGTAGCAGCCGGTACCCGGACCAGTGGATTGTCCCTGGAGGAGGGATGGAGCCCGAGGAAGAGCCTGGAGGTGCCGCCGTGAGGGAGGTATACGAGGAGGTGAGAGGACCACTCCTTGCACACCCGGCATTGAAGTTGGGGTTTCAAGAGAGCCTCTGGGCAAGGATGCAGACAAGACCAGGCCACAGGACACTGGGGAGAAGGGGAAGCTCGCAGGTCACAGGGGTACTTTTTTTTTGTTTGATGCAACTTTTTTTTTTTTTGAGTTGGAGTCTCACTCTGTCACCCAGGCTGGAATGCAGTGGCATGCGCACAGCCACTGCAGCCTTGACCTGCTGGGCTCAGGCAATCCTCCTGCCTCAGCCTTCCAAGTATCTGGAACCACAGACATGTACCACCACTCCTGGCTAGTTTTTTTTTTTTTTAAATTGTAGAGATGAGATCTTGCCAAGTTGCCCGGTCTGGTCTCAAACCCCTGGGCTCAGGCAGTTTTCTCGCCTCAGCCTCCCAAAGTGCTGGGATTACAGGTGTGAGCCACTATGCCTGGCAACTGATGTAACATTTAAAATTTTTTTATTTTTTAGAGAAAGGATCTCACTGTGTTGCCTAGGCTAGAATGCAGTGGTACAATCATGCATGGCTCACTGCGGCCTCAACCTCCTGGGCTTGAGTCATCTTCCCACCTTGGCCTCCCAAGTAGTTGGGATGACAGGCATGAGCCACCTCATCCAGCCGATGCAACATTTTTTTTTGAGTTGGAGTCTCACTCTGTCGCCCAGACTGGAGTGCAGTGGCCGCTCCCAGCCACTGCAGCCTCAACCTGCTGGGCTCTGGCGATCCTTCTGCCTCAGCCTTCCAAGTAGCCGGAATACAGGCATGCACTACCACGCCCAGCTGATTTTTTGATTTATTGTAGAGATGAGGTCTCGCCAAGTTGCCCAGGCAGGTCTCGAACCCACGGGCTCAGGCAATCCACTCATCTCAGCCTCCCAAAGGCGCAGGATTACAGGTTGAGCCACTGAGCCGGCAACATTTTTTTTTTTTTTAAGTTGGAGTCTCACTCTGTTGCCCAGACTGGAATGCAGTGGCACGCTCCCAGCCACCACAGCCTCGACCTGCTGGGCTCTGGCGATTCTTCCACCTCAGCCTTCCAAGTAGCCAGAACTACAGGCGCGCACTACCACGCCCAGCTAATTTTTTATTATTGTAGAAACGAGGTCTCGCCAAGTTGCCCGGGCTGGTCTTGAACCTGCGGGCTCAGGCAATCCACTCGCCTTGGCCTCCCAAAGTGCTGGGATTACAGGCTGAGCCACTGAGCCCGGCCCGATACAACATTTTTAAGCATGTGGTTGTAGCTAGCATTTTTGCTAGGCAAGTATTTTTTCTACCTGGTAAGATGGAGCTAAAGCCAGTGGAAGTTCCCCAGAATGGTGTCTGTCACATCCAACTTCCCGGTGATCAGATTCCTGTGGGTCGATGATCTAGCAGCCTTGCCAAGGAGGACGGTTGGTATTATGCTGGTCAGGAGTGCGAATGGAGAAGAAGCGAGCTACTCTCATCTTACCTGTCTAAATGTTCAGGAAAATGTGGCCCGTTCATCCATAAGCACATGCCTGCCGCCTTCCAGCTGCTGGTCCAGGTCGCAGGGCCGGCACCCAGGGAGCAGGGGGGCTGCAGCCTAGCCCTGGTAGGCATGAGTGCTTAGTGCTCTGTGGGCTTTGGTGACAGGCAAGAGGGGTTCTAAGCATGGGTGGGGAGGCCCACAGCCTCTCTGTGGGCGTGTCACAGGGCCTGCCTGCTGTACAGCCCTGTGGGCACTGTGGCTAGGTTTGAGTCCCCCACTACCCAGAAGAGGGAGCTGTGCCCACGCCGTAAACAGGTGTGGCATGGGGAGGGGTGGAGATAGGGAGGGAGGAGTGCCTGCAGACCTCACTCATACAGAAAAGCCGTTCAAGTAGGCCCACACTGGCAGACAGCCAGCTTCTGCTCAGTCCTGCCACTTAGGAAATGAATAGCGGTATTTAAAACCACACAGATGCAGGACGACAGTGACTTGGGTTTAGATTTAAATAATTGAAATAGCCAGAATGCAACTAACATACACATTGTTGTGAAAAGGTAAACATTTTACATTTCATCTCTTTTTAATAGGCTGGAGTCAAAGGAAAATTGGGCAGACTGCTGGGCATATTTGAGGTGAGTTACCAGGTGGTCCTCGTGGTGCTCGGCCCAGCTTAGTGTTGTCTTCTCAACCAGTCACAGCACCTGGCAGCAGCTGGCCTAGACACTCCTCTGCCTGGCAGGGGGCAGGTTGGGTGTGAGGACTGGGCAGGGGCAGCCACATGGCTTCCTCATCACTGGCAGCCACGTGCAGCTCTGTTGTGTGACCGCCTGTGCTTAACGCTACAGGGGCCAACGCCGAGGTGCTATTCCCATTCATCACACTGGGTGGTGCCGACCGTGCAGGTGGTGCAGCATCTTCATCCCTACAGGCCTGGGTCTCGGTGTCTAGGAATAGACCCTGCCTGCAGCCCACTTAGAGGGCATGCGTGACTCATCCTCATAGGACTGTGGGGAGGCCCAGGGCACAGACTTGTCATGGAATGCCTCAGTACCGAGGACAAGAGTTCAGGGAGGGATCTAGAAAGTGATGGGCCCTATGGAAGGCAGGGAGGAGGAAGCTGGGTCCTGAGACCCAGGCTGCTCTGAAGTTATCTTCATCCAAGATTCAGACCTAGATGTACCAGAAACATGGTCCCCTTCCATGCTTCAGGTTATGGGTTAGCTCAGTCTCTCTAGTAGAACCATATGAGTGTTAAGGCTTTATAAATTCAGGGGAAAATTCCTTTTTAAGAAAAAAGTTTTTTTTGAGTCGGAGTCTCACTATTGCCCAGGCTGGAGTGCGGTGGCACACTCACAGCCACTGCAGCCTTGACCTGCTGGGCTCAGGCGTTTCTTCTGCTTCAGCCTTCTAAGTATCTGGAATTACAGGCACCCGATGCCATACCTGGCTAATTTTTGATTTATTGTAGAAATGAGGTCTCGCCATGTTGCCCAGGCTGGTCTTGAGCCCATGGGCTCAGGCAATCCTCTTGCCTCAGCCTCCCAAAGTGCTGGGATTACAGGCGTAAGTGAGCCACCACGCCCAGCTCTAAAAATTCCAATTTTACAGTGAGTTGAAGACTCCTCCCAGAATACAGTACTTACTGAGTAAAGTCCCTAAGGTACAACTCAGACTTGTCCAGGTTTCAGAAGTTATTTTATGCTGTTGAATAGCACCATCTCCTGGTCACACTGAAGAATGTGGTGGGGTTTTCCTGTGATTCAAATACTGCAATTTTGCATATGGTAGGAAAATGGCACATTTGTCAGTATGTTGACAAGGTATTTGAAGAAAATCTCTCATAGTAAAGTTATATAATGTGGAAAGGTAACAGCATTCAGTGCTTTACAAATACTATTTAACAGACAGTAACAGCCAACATGCCTTAGGAAGTGAGGGGAACCCGCTGCCCAGCCCATTACCACGCGATTTGTGTCTGCGTGAGTAAAGCATAGCAAGTGTGGTGATTTACAGGCATAGAAATAAGAGCACCAGCTGTAAATCATAGGGTGGCATTTTCTGTGGCACTCCCTCCGAGGTTTTGTCATCTTGTTCCTTCACAGTACACCGAGTAAGGGGCTCCCCGGGTGGTCTGCTGAGGAAGTCTGAGGACACAGCAACAAGGCCAGTCCTCCTTGATGACGGTGGCCACTTCGTCTTAGCACTAGCTTATGTCTAATTTTTAACCTAGAGACAAGATCAAGTGTCGGCTTTAATATGGGTGAAAATTGAGTGGGCACATTATAAAACTCAAAGATCCTATTCCGAAAGGCCGTAACCCAGGCATTCTCAAGCCTGACTGTACACAGTTCACGGGGAGCCTTGAAGTGTCAACGCTTAAGGTCCCATCCCAGACCTGCCTGAATCTGCGGCTCAGAAAACCCATTCATCCAAGTGGCCAGCCTGGCTGTGGCTTCACAGGAGCCTTGGTAAACCTGGGAAGGTCCCACCTGGTGCAGGGTTCCAGCGGAGGCTGCTTCCAGAGGCTCGAAGGGTGAGGGCATCCCAGGCAGGACGTTTTTAAGTCTTGCGCTTAAAAAAAAATATCAGCCGAGAGTTTATTTTGGCCAAGTTGAAGGACTGCAACCTGAGAGCGTAGATTCACATTGCCGCATTGACCCGAACATATGCTTCCTCTTTTTTTTCATCCTTCAAGTCGGGGTCTCACTTTGTTACCCAGGCTGGAGGACAGTGGTATGATCACAGCTTCCAACAGCCCCAAATACCTGAGCTCAGGAGATTCTCCCACTTCAGCCTCCCCCATAGCTGGGACTTCAGGCAGATACCAAACCTGGTTAAGTTTTGTAGAGATGTGGTCTCATCATGTTGCCCAGGCTGGTCTTGAACTCCTGGGCTCAAGTAGTCCTCCTGCCTCAGCCTCCCAAAGTGCTAGGATCATAGGCATGAGCCACTGCACCCAGCATCCTTGTCTTTTTAACTACTTGTCCTGTATAAGCTCACGTTTGTGCTAGACTTCACAACTGAGTATAATTGCCCACGTGGGAAACGAGCTTTGCTAATCAGCAGTGCCAGGCTGATTTTTTTCCCTTAAAAATGTGTCCACAGATTAAAATGCATTTCTCTTTATATTCAAGCAGAACCAAGACCGAAAGCACAGAACATACGTCTATGTTCTCACAGTCACTGAAATCCTGGAGGACTGGGAAGACTCTGTGAACATCGGTAAGCTCCTGCTCCCCCTGTTGCCTGGGCCACTTAGTGCAGGCATGGCACACATGTGGCCAGCTTCCCTCTCGTTGTTTGTGGTCACTTGCCTTTGAGGGAAGGGAAGAGGAATGTGCATCTGCATGTCTGGATTATCTTAGACGCTCCGACATGTTGCCATCTCAGCCATCTGCCGTGGGAACAGGGGCATCACTGGCGGGGCTAGCTTCTCATAGTTGACCTTATTGTCCAGTAACACATGCCCTACTCTCCTCCAGGACGGAAGAGGGAGTGGTTCAAAGTGGAAGATGCCATCAAAGTGCTCCAGTGTCATAAGCCTGTACATGCAGAGTATCTGGAGAAGCTCAAGCTGGGCTGCTCCCCGACCAACGGAAACCCCTCAGTCCCCTCCCTCCCAGAGAGCAACGCCTTGTTTGTGACGGCTGCGCAGACCACCGGGCTGCCGTCCAGTTTAAGATAGAGGGACTGGGAAGGCCTCCTCCGGGTCCGCCTCACGGGGAGAGGTTTCTTGTCCCTGACAGACATCTGAATGACGCTTGCAAACTGTCTGAATTTGCCAGGCAGGGTTTTCAAACAATTTGCATGTTTTTCAGATGCTTTCAAATCTTTTTTTTTTTAAATAGTGTAAAATATTTTAATAAGCCAAAGCCATGTGGAATTTTTTTTAGATGCCTTAACTGTGCCCCCCCCCTCAATATTTTGGTTGTTATTTTTCACAGCATTTTGTTTCATTTTTTGCCCAGTGACATCTGCCTGGTTTGTCAGATCAGACTACTGGGTGTATTTTCCTCCCAAGTTGCTTTCTCATTCACAGCATCAGCAGTCAACAAACGCTTCTCTGGCTAATGAAAAATCTTGTTGGTATTAAGAAATTCATCCATCCCAAAATGTGTTTTCTGGGATTACAGTTTTAATTCATAAATTGCAGATGTGGGCTATTTCTGTATGATCCAATGATTGTTGACAACGGACTGGGTTTGCTCTTTTGAGGAGTCTCAGCTTATCCAACTGAGTTTTCGTGCCTGGTATTAATGCCAATAGCCACCTGACATGTAACTCAGTAGCAGTTGAACATGAAGTGGAACTCTAGAGTCGGTGATTTGAGGGCGGATACTAGAAATGCACGTAGTGAATCCGTCTTACCACGAAGACTGCCTGTGGAAGCTGAGTGGGCATGGTCAGCGGCTGAGTTTCTTGGTCTGTCCTCTCTTCCCAGAGACCCAGCTGCCCTCCACATAAACTGCTCCTACAGCACATCTGGTCTTTAGTCTAGTGGTTCCTTGAGTTACACTTCTGTGTTCACCAGCAGCCGCAAGGTAGGGTCTGACTGAAATGCCGGTCAATGCAACAGCCTGGCAGTCAAGCATATCCTTTCCTGCTGTTCAGCCAGTGGGACAGAGGCTGCCACATCGTGGGATGGCTCATCGTTCCCAGGCTGTCAGCAGCCGCTCCTCGTCACATCACTCACCTCTGAAGCCCCGGCACCTGCCTGAACTGAGAACTGCTTTATCTTCCGCTTGTCTTTATACTCACAAAAGTCAGGAACCTGTCGAAAAGCATGGTACCCTGTCCCAACCTCCCTGCACCCCCCAAGCAGGCCGGAACAAGGAGGGAGGAACAGCTTTTGAGCTGAGGGCTAGGGAGAAAAGTTTGGGGGGGTTTTTTTTTTTTTTTTTTGGTTTTTAATGTAGACTTTAGCCTTTTGTAAATATTGTAACTGGTGAGTATAAAGTAGGAAAAAAGCATAGTGAAAACATTTGTTCTACAGATTGTTAACCTTTAAAAATATAATTGCTGCTAAAAATAGAGTGCTGTTACACTTCAGGAACATTGGTGCCATCTGAAAATGAGATCTCGTGCCATAAACGCAGCTGAACTAAATATAAACGTTAGTTCACAAATTACTGCTGTCAAAGGAAGGAGTAAAGTGGAAATACTTAGCCAATGACATTTCATTCTCGATTATGTAGCGTGTCAAACAGGAACATCTGGAATTTTTATATTTTTCTTTGTACAGAGGTTACATATTCTGGGTGTTTTTTAAAAAGGAAACATTTTCAATCCCAAATTGACACTTTCTATCTTTTGCGAACTTGGGATGTTTTGGTTCAGGTTTTGGGTCTCTGCAGTCCCTTTAAATGATGCGTGTCCACAGCAGATCAGCTGGATTGCTCTTGTACAGAAGGCTGCTTCCGCCTGCGGGGGTGCCAGTACTGGAAGCGGGGTCACCCTCTACGTGATATTCGGAGTGGGAATAATGCATGAACTTATTTAATACACTCTTGGACTATGTAAGATATGTACAGTATTAATGTCAACCGTCTCTTAGAAGCTAGCCTATAAATATTGTATAGTTTTCTTGGGTCAGAACATGGGCATCAGTCGGGACTCTCCAGTGCTGCTCGCCAAGCAGCGTCTTCCATCTATACAGCTAGCAGGAGTTTGGAGGACGCAGCGGAATGCAGCTTCACACTCGAGTTGCCACACGAGTTCTTCACTGTTCTGAACCAAGTCTAGAAAAATCAGGAAGGGCCCTTGCGAGACTTATTCCTGTTCAGAGAAAAAGCTGACATTTCCATGCTAAACAGCTGAATCTACTAAGACAACAAATACTATCTACTGTCTCAGTCCTCCAAGGTTTGTGGTGTTGGGATTGTGCTTTGATCCTTTTGTGAGGTAGTCAGATAAAAGTGGGCAGCTAAATTTTTCAGCTCCATGTGCCTCCTAGCAAGAACAGAAAATAAGTAGTGATTGTGAGATGACTTGCAGACCAGGTAGAAACTGCCTCGCATGTTTTTTGTTTTGTTTGTTTTGTAAGCGGATGACATTTTCCAAGCAGGCACGTGCTATCGAATCACAAAGCAGAGCCGAAGGGAGAAATGATTGTTGTACACACTGAGTTGCTTTGCATGGTCTCATTTGAGATAATCGGTGTAAGAATCTTGACTTTTTTTATATTTGGAAACATCAAATAAAAATGGAAATAAATTATCTTGGTGAGTTTCTTTTCTTTGCAAATAATCTGCTTTCTGAAGCTTTAGCTAAGGTCATGCTTTTGACTTTGAAGTGTGTATTTAAAATAAACACCCAGGGGAAGCCTGCACCTCAGTACAGAAGGCATCACTTCCTCAGCTTGGCTGGTCGTGGTGCTCTAATGTTTGGCCTAAGCCACATCCATCCTCCATGGGAGGCATGTCTAATGGTCACAGCATGTTCGTAGTCTTTGGTGGAATGACAGGTTAACAGGAACTGCTCTCCATGAGACGCCAGCACTGCCGACGGGTACTTCCCCCCGCCCCCAACTGCTGCCCAGGCCATGGCAGGCCGCGGTTGTCTTACTGCCACCCCCATGCAACTGTGCTGCAGCTCTAATAACTCTGGCATTCCTCTGTTCTACACTGCAGGCACTTTACACCCTGCTGTCCTTCCATTCCAGCAGCTGTGTTTGGAAGGGTCACTGGCCAAGGTGCCCCCCACCGTGGCGTCCCCCAAAATACAGTGTGCCCAAGACCAACTTCAGAATCCTGATGTGAAATTCCTGCTCAAGTGTCACTTCATCTTTGTTAGGATTAAGTGGGTGGGAATGAGAAGCTTGGCCCCTACCAGTGCTGTCTTCACACTGGACTGCGTGTCTCCACAGGTCTCTAAGCAGAATTTTGTAGCCAGTGTCACAGGACTAACTGAACACTAGTTGAGTTTATTAAAGTATTGTAACGCTTGGTGGGGCACAGTGGCTCACACCTGTAATTACAGGGCTTTGGGAGGCTGAAGTGGGAGGACTACTTGCGCCTAGGAGTTTGAGACCAGTTTGGGCAACGGTGAGACCTCATCTACAAAAGTAACCGGGCATGGCGGTGCACATCTGTAGTTCCGTACTCGGGAGGCTGAGGCAGAGGGATCACCTGGGCTCAGGAGTGGAGGCTGTGATGAGCAGTGACTGCACCACTATGACTGACTCCAGCTCAAGCGCGGTAACTTTCAATGAATAGGTCATAGCTGCCGGGGGTGGTGGCTCACGCTTGTCATCCCAGCACGTTGGGAGGCAGAGGTGAGAGGATTGCCAAAGTCCAGGGCTTCAAGTCCAGCCTGGGTAACTTGGTGAAACCTCATCTCTACAATAAACCAAAAAATTAGCCAGGCATGGTGGCACTTGGCTGTGGTTCCAGCTCCTCGGAAGGCCGAGGTAGGTCACGCCTGAGCCCAGCAGGTCAGGGCTGCAGTGGCTGTGAGTGTACCACAGGCTCCCATGTTGCGGTTAGTGATTCTGTCTGCTGAGGGTTCCAACCCTGCTCCGTAAATCCTCACACAATGGTGACCAGCGGCTGCATCTTTTCTGTCAGTGTTGGCAACAGCTCAGAACTCATTTCCACCCCAAGGAGCTTTCACTCTAGTGGGCTAGTGACAAGTGACATCTCTGGGTATTTGTTTTTGCATCCTTAAATCTTTCAAGGTCTTAGCGCTTCTTATATATGTACAGATTTGCACCCTCTGCAACAGCAGTCAAATACTGTTTAAAAGTAGCACACCCCCCCCGCCCCCACCAAAACCGTAGCATTTCCTATGGAGTGCAGAGCAGCGTCTGGTTGAAAAACAACCTCAACGTGATGTTTTCTCTCCCCCTTGCTCATGACACTTTTCTGAGTGGCCTGGAGAAACCTACCAGAAGATGAGAGGCCCTGAGGCCTGACCTATCTAGAAGCAACAGCAAGAGTCGCTTGACACAAAGAGTGAAAGGCTGCATGTCTTTTTGCAGGAACAAGGCTTTCATTCCTCCACTTTGAAGTGATCCAACATGTTATGATCCCATCAACTCTCCTGTGACATCTGACAAATGTCTCTCGGTGTATGGACTCCCACCCTCCCAAGGTCATTTCCTGGTGCTCCTCAGTGTCGGTCATGAATAAAGTATAGTCAGTTGTAGTGCTTTTCTCAGTTTTTACTCAAGTTCATTCCTCACGTTAGTGAGACACTTTATCTTGGGCACACTTATTTGGACTTCAGTGTGTATCAACTTTGAACATGCCTACTGACCAAGTATCTGGGAATTCAATTCATTTGCAGGAATGCAGACAAAAGTTCATGTTCCTAGATAAGGCACCAAAATGTGCCTAGATAAGGCTGTGAAAATGAAATGCCCAGCAGCAAGAGGTAATGATTAACTAGATACAGCCAGACGGAATATCGTGTAGTAATTAAAGATGCCGTTCAGGTGAACCTTGGTGTGGAACCCACCAGAGCCATCTGGAGAGGAACGGTTGTACCCATCAAGTTGCCATGCATCTACTGCCCGCGTGCCCAACAGCTCCATTGGCAGAAATCTAGTCAACATATACCTGGACAGGCTGCACAACCAAAGTTAGGTCAGAGAGGTGTGTTGAGGAAATTACAAAACAGGTATCCGTTCAACATACAAAAGGGCTTAAATTCTGGCCACCTTCTTAGTAGACATTCTGAGGCTGTTGCCCCAGGGAGAGGCCCTTCCAGGAGGGGGATGGCCAAGGACCCTGTTCCATGCACATATTTTGCATACACTGAAAAGGCTTTATCAAAGTCGAAGGACACTTTTTTTTATTTAAAGGGGTGTGTACAGAAAATCTTGGTTTTTAAATGCTTGTATGGCCGGGTGTGGTAGCTCATGCCTGTAATCCCAGCACTTTGGGAGGCAGAGGAAAGAGGACTGCCTGAACCTATGCGATCGAAACCAGCCTGGGCAACTTGGCGAGACCTAGTCTCCACAATAAATCAAAAAAGCTAGCAGGGCATGGTGGCGCATGCCTGTAGTTACAGTTACTTGGAGGCTGAGGTGGCCATGAGCGTACCAGTGTCAGTGCACTCCAGCCTGGAGATAGAGACTCTGACTCAAAAAAAAAGTGCTGCCAAAGGAGGGTGGTGGCCTATAGCCTGGGGTCAAACCCAGTCCCATTGTCTGGTTTTGCACAGGCCATGAGCTTACATTGTTTTTTATGTTTTTAGGTGGCTAAAAATAATAACTTTTGACAGGTAAAAATTAAGAGCACAGCACAGCCATTAGTTTGCAAACTGAGTGCTACCTCTACAGGGGCAGAACTGAGCAGTTGAGAGAAACATGTGGCCCACAAAGCCCAAAATACTTACTGTTTTAGAAGGAAAAAACCATGAAATTCCAAGAAGTTGGCCTTTCTTCCTTAGTTCTTCAGTCCTAATGAGTCCTGCAAAAACAGGACAAATAGCACAAGTTCACATCTAGTGCAACCCACCTGTGTCTAAGCGGCTCTGGTGGCCAGATCTGCCGTGGGTAGTTGAACTTCAGCCAGAAGACTGTAAACTGACCAGGTGATAATGAAACTAAGAACTGACATTTACTAACAGATCAGGGAATGATTCCAAAAGCAGATAGGAAAGGGAACCCCAAAACAACTGGAACTACCTTTTGGGGGGTGGGCCCCTTGCAGTACAGGGTGCCCCCGCCACAGGCATCAATGTTACCAGCTAGTGTTGTTAGAGGCTGTATTTGGCCTCGGAATTTTTTGGGGCAATTCTTTCAAGGCATTTGCCCATTTCATGGTGGGTGACTTATGAGCCACCCACCCACATTGCACTGAGTGTTCACATTGCACTGAGTGTTCAGCAGTTTTTGACTGTAAACAGCATGAGCCCTATGCCTCACTCTTCCTATTCACCTGATCTCGCCCCGAGCCACCTTTTTTTTGTTTGTTTGTTTCCCTCGATGAAAAAAGTCCTCAAAGGGAAACGTTTTACCGATATGGAAGAGGTGAGAAAAAATGGCATCCAAATTGATGAGTTCAGAAACTGAACAGTGGAAAAAGCATCTCAATAGATGTATTGTCATCAAACAGACAGCACTTTGGAGGTGACTGAAGTTTAAAAATGTAAGAATAAGAACACAATTTTTTACAAATAAATTTCAAGGCCAGGCACAGTGGCTCATGCCTATAATCCCAGCACTTTGGAAGGCTGAGGTGAGAGGACTGCCTGAGCCCATGGGTTTGAGATCAGCCTGGGTAACTTGGTGAGACTTCATCTATCCAATAAATTAAAAAATTCGCTGGGCATGGTGGCATGCCTGTGGTTTCAGGTACTTGGAAGGCTGAGGCAGAAGGATCACCAGAGCCCAGTAGGTTGAGGCTGCGGTGGCCATGAGCGTCCCTCTGCCCTCCAGCCTGGGCAACAGAGGAGACTCCAACTCAAAAAAAAAAAAAAATCCGAAAAAAAGAACCCAAATAAATTTCAGTTGTAGGGGTCCCTTCCTCATATGTGGCAGGTGAGGATGGATCAGGAGTGTATAAACAAAAGAAACACTATCCCAGGTGGTATGTTCATGAGGCTAATCTTGCCAACTTCCAAAACATTTTCTTATACATACAAATGATTAGCAGAAGAAAAACACTAAAGCTCCTTAATAAGCACCATCCAATGTCCTTTGTCAAGATACTGCAATTTCAGCCAATGCTGTGCAACAAGAAACAATAAGGTCAAATATTCATTTACTCATGATTCTTCTGCAGTCCATCAGAAACTGAAAAAAACTGCAGGATTTCAGGAGAGGCTTGGTTTCGTGTCAAGTCCACACTCTGACAAAGGTGCCACCCCAACAGGCACACATGAAACGAGACTGGCTTGAGGGTGACAAGGACTCCAACTTCAGCTTCCACCTTTCTTTTTTTTGTTTTTGAGTTGCCCCCCAGACTGGAGTGCAGTGGCCGCTCTTGGCCACCGCAGCCTCGACCTGCTGGGCTCCGGTGATCCTTCCACCTCAGCCTTCCAAGTAGCTGGAACTACAGGCACACGCTACCATGCTCAGCTAATTTTTTTGATTTATTGTAGAGATGCGGTCTCGTCAAGTTGCCCAGGCGGGTCTCGAACCCGCGGGCTCAGGCAATTCGCTCACCTCAGCCTCCCAAAGCACGGGATTACAGGCTGAGCCACCGAGCCCTGCTAGCTTCCACCTTTCACAGGCAAGGTTCCAGTCCAGCTTCTGCGTGGCAGATAGAGTATCATGAAGCCACAGCAAGGCCTGCCAAGCCCCATGTACCTTAAAATAAAGGGAAACCACGGCACCTGTGGCTGTGCACTGCTGCTTCTGAACTGGCTTGACAAGTACCTTCTTGGTCTAGAGCAAAGTTTAAGTTTCATAGTTTCAATCCATGCATGGGTCCTAGATGCATGGATTGAAGCAACCGTGGATAGACCTTTGTTTTGGAGCCACAGTCTCACTGTCACCCAGGATGGAGTGCAGTGGGATGCTCACAGCCACTGCAGCCTCCACCTGCTGGGTTCAGGCGATCCTGCCTCAGCCTTCCAAGTAGCTAGAACAGGAGTATGCCACCACACCCGGCTATTTTTTTGATTTACTGTAGTGATGAGGTCTCGCCAAGTGGCCCAGGCTGGTCTCGAACCCCATGAGCTTAGGCAATCCTTGCCTCCACCTCCCAAACTACTGGGATTACAGGTGTGAGCCACCGTGCCTGGCAGATGTATATTTTCTTTAATTGTGTCTGTATTGAACATGTATTTTCGTTGTCATTATTCCCTAAACAATAGTATTTACACTGTAGTGGGTATTATAAGTAATCTAGAGATGACATAAAGCAGTGGTCTCAAACATCCCAGGCATCAGGAATGGTTTCTTGGAAGACAATTTTTCCACGGACCGAGGCAGGCAGGATGGTTTCAGGATGCTTCAAGCACATAACATTTATTATGCACTTTATTTCTATCATTATTATTACATTGTAATATATAATGAAGTAATTATACAACTCACCATAATGCAGAATCAGTGGGAGCTCTGAGCTCGTTTTCCTGCAACTAGACGGTCCCATCTGAGGGTGATGGGAGACGGTATGCCCGAAGTGTGTTACATCTACTTTACTCCGTAATCTCATGCTGGTTGCTGTCACTGCAGAAAACCCTGCTTTGCAAAGACAGGATGTTGGAAATGGAAGCAGGCTTTTCAGTGCTGATGTGACAATAGGCGGAGCTCAGACAGTGAAGTGAGCGATGGAGAACAGCTATAAATACAGATGAAGCTTCACTGGCTCACCCTGCTGCTTACCTCCTGCCGTGTGGCCCGGTTCTGTGGTCCATGGGGTGGGGACCCCTGATGTAAAGTACACAGGAGGAGGTGTGTGGGTTACATGCAAATATGACACCATTTTATCCCAGGGACTTGAGCATCTGTGGATTTTGATATCCAAGGAGGTCCCGGAACTGATCCCCCACAGACACTGGAAGGCTGCTTCAGATCTAAGGTCGCATAAGGCAGCCGCAGAGAGAACTACAGATAACCAGAGTGGCAGCAAGTCACAGCACACAAAGCAGATCTCTGAGGCCCCTGAATGGGAGTGGATTCTCCAGCACCCCCAGCAACGTGTTCCGACTCTTCCAGCCAGGCCTCCGCTCCTGCTGCTGCCCTCTATGCCTGGAGGTGCATCTGGCTGGAACCCAGGGCAGCCTCTGGTGTAGCTGAGTGCTCCTCCCCACTTGACTGTGGGTCCTCACAGGAAAGTCCCAGCATCTACTCACCTCGCCACCCAAGTGGCAGGCACACACCAAACTTTCATTTGTCGAGTAAGCTGTTTCCATGAGGTCAGGGGCTACACAGGCAAAGGCTTCCAAGGAGAAAGGAAGGGCAGGAGGCTAGGAGGGCCGGACAGGAGAATGGTCAGCTCCTGGGTGGCTGCTCCTCTCAGCGGGGGCCATGCATCGTGGTGGTTGGCACAGTCACCAGCTCATCAAATCATTCCTAAGGTACCAGAATTCTGGTTTTTCACGTTTATCTCCCAATTTTTAAAAATGCTGGCATCAAATTCAAACCGAACCAACCACACAGTGTGGGTCAAAGAAAACAGGCCCACAGACCAGATGAAGCTGCCAGTCTGCAGCCTCTGCCTTGGCCTCCCCCAGAGCCCGAGTCCTGCGAAAGCTCAGTCAACACACTGGCTCTTGCTTCACCCACTGGGTGAGTGAGTGAGTTCTGCCGGCACACTGGGCACTCCTATCAAGACTGCAAGGGAAAAAAAAGAGGATGCCAAGGGATGTGGAATTCTCTTTTGTATAGACATTTTTGCAGTAAAACACGTGACTCTCATGCTTGTAAATCCCCGTATGCCCTTAGCTCCAGCCGTGAGCAGGACATCTGTGTTGATCTCTAGTTGTGTGAAGTCCTGTGTGGTTCACTGATCCTCTGAAGTGAGGCTGTGTTTCCTCAGCTGTTGTCAAAGACGCCCTTTCAACAGCCCAAGAATTGTTATAAATGACAACTTCTGTTATCAGTTTTAAATTTACAGTGTTATGATTATTAACAATTTTATTCTAAATTAGACTGACACTTGTGATCAAGCATTGCACTTATTTGGAAGAATATCAGTTACCAGTCATCAAAGGCCTTTGTATGTTGAAAATGTAATTTTAATAGAGAATTCTTCATCTTACATAGGAGCACAATAAAATACACCACATTCTGAAGAAACTCCAGAATTATGAGAATAAGAGTGAGGAAAATTCAGATGGGCTACAATATCCATTACCTTAAACTGCAAGAGACGAGGTTCCACCGAAGGTCAACATTTACATAGTTAGGACCCGCTACATTTACGACTTAAAATAACAAGGGTCAGGAACTAGAGATAGAGGCAGTAGGGAGCAGTTTTGTGAGGGGAGAAACTGTGAGAGAAGAAAACAATCCTGAATACCAAATTCAGGATTAACAGGAGCTCCCATCGCCAAGTCTAGTGGGGTGAAAGCAGGAAAGGGCACCCGGGCAGGAGGATCTCCTGAGGAAGCCTTTCTGCGACACTGCTGGAGATCTGCTCATCAGGTGGTGAGGAGACTCACTAGCGCTTCGTTCAGCAAACCCCAGGTGAGGGTCAACACACCAGACAAGAACCAAGAAAAAGGTTAGAACCCAAGTTTGAGGCAACAATGTGGCCCAACATGTGAAAGTCCTACACGTTGGTCACAACCGCTTTCTTTGCTACGACTGACTGTCTTGGACAGTGATTTTCACACACTGCAGTCAGAAGCCAGTGGCCATCTACCCAACCAGACAATATATGTTTAATTCAAATGTCCAGGAAATTAAAAAAAAAAAAAGCCAAATGCTGATGCCTTATGCACGCACAGGGCCAGCTTACAAACACTCCATCCAATAATATCGTAACATAAATTTGCATCAATAAAAAGAAACGGGCAAAATCCATCTCTTTCATTTAATTTGTAAGATGGTGAAGACCAAAACAGAATGTTCCACCAGAGTTTTAATGTTTAAATACGATTGTCACATTGGGAAAATGAAATAAACACAGTAAAATAAACTGTACAAGGCAAAGCAGAATAACAAAAAATATTTTACTAAAACATAAGATTTACAGAAGTCTCCAGACAAGCCATACAAAATGGTCACAAGCTCTTTTTGAAGGAGGGAATCTACACTTGACAGCAAAGTCACAATGTCATTAGTCAGGGCTGTGATGTTTGTTTAATGTTCCCATTTTGGTTCAAACAATCAAGCTTGTCCATCTACAGCGTCTAAATAAAGTTAGACTTGGCTAGAGAGCATATTCTAAAGAACTGGTTAGCTGCTTTCAACCAATGCAATTAGATCACCATAAAAAGGGGGAAAGGAGCCCGTAAAATTAAAATAAAACTACCTCCCCCCTCAAAGAAATAAAATAAAGAAAAACGCCCACCCCCCCTGCAGCTAACCCTGACAACTACCTTCATTCACAGTGCTTCATACTTAAACCATGATGGGGCAATGAACAAACGCAGAGGCCGCTGCTTTTACACACTTCGTGACAATCCAGATGATACTGCTAGCCTCTGCTCATGCTTACGACAGTGAATCAGGACAAGACAGAGATTTGCTAATGTGCATTTAATCACCAAAGGACTGAAGATGTCTGGGCTTTTATTCTGAATGTTTCTAAGACTGTGTCCATTAAATGCAAACAAAAAAGGAAGAAGTCTTGGCAGAACAGGAGAAGTGACGCGCACTTGATGATCAGATGGATTTAAATATTGTTCATGGCATATAGCCTAGTCCATGCTCTAGCTGCAGACAAAAACAAACACACAATTATTATTTTACTTAGTCCTACATGTTACTTTCCAAACTATAAACGACAAACAAACACTATTAAGCTAATTATGGAGATGTCGCGCTGTAATCTCTTACATTCATGCCATTTTCTATAAACTGGAACAGGGTTGAAAGAGTTCCTATATGTCCAATTACCAAAACACTACAGTAAAAGTCAGCATGATGAAAAGAGCTGCCCTTTCATTTCTGGATATACAATGTTCCCTGCTAATTTTGTTAAAATCTATAAAGGCTCTAGCTATAAACTACTATAAACCAAATTCTCTATAAACTGCTGCATACTTTAATTTCACCAAATTGATTACAAAAGCAGTTCAAAAGTTTTCCAGATCTTTACATATTGCTAGATGAATGGTATTCATTCGGTATGTGTTAAGTCAGGTGTAGTTATCAGAGTCCAAGAAGGTCTCCCAATAATAGATTGTCTTTAAACATATTTGTGACCAGTAAATGTTTCACTTTCCTAATACTAAAAGTGGGTGAAAATAAAAAAAAAACTGAAGCTGGCTGCCACAAACTTCTACCATTAAACACAAAATGATTTTTTCTAAATTGTCACCTTTTTCACAATACAGCTGAAAGTTGCAGACATATCCAGTATCTACCTTAGACGCCACTCTAACTAGCATTCTGTACTTTATATTTTTATTCAGACCATAAACCCGAAAAGACAGTCTTCCATGATGAGGTCAATTCACGCCAGCGGCAACCAGGAACAGGATTTGGAATGACGTGAACTCATGCCAGCGGTCACAAATGAGTTAAGAGGCTGTCACATTCTAGAAGCAAAATGTGACTTTCTGATCTACTGCAATATATTTTCCCCGTCTCCTTTCCTCGCCAAGAGCATGTATGGCTGCACAAGTGTGTCTCTGCGAGCGAGAGCAGAGAGGGTGTAGTGAGTACCTGTTTCTATGGCTTGGGCCTCGTTGGTCTTCCATTGCTCTGCAACGTCATTTGCTAGCGGGTCATCCGGGTTGGGAGCACTTAACAAAGCCTGGATCGAGAGCAGGACTGTGCGGATCTGCAGTGCCGGGGACCACTTATCTACGAAGGTAATAGGCCCAGAGTGACAAAGCATGAAAAGATGGCCCAGGAATGCTGCATTTCCCCCCACAGACCACGGCGGCCTTCGTATAGCGCCTGCGTTCTAATATGGAATGTGTAAAAGGAGAAACCTGAAGAATGCACACGATGAGAAAGACAACACTTACCTTTCAAAATATCTAAACATATTCTTCCCAACTTGTCTACATTAGGATGATAGATTTTGGTCATGAAACGTACTTTAGGGGCTGCCATTGGGTATTCTTCTGGAAGGAATAGTTCAAGTTTAAAAGTCCCTCCCTCGAAGGGGGAATCCTGGGGGCCAGCAATGACCACATGAAAATAACGGGCGTTGCTCTCATCTGGTTCTGCTTTAATGCCAGGAACCGGTTCCGCCAGCAAACGCTGGGTCTCCTACGATAGAAGACAAACACATCTGTTAAACCAGTGTCACTTTACCAGACATGAAAATAAAATTAGAAATGGAATCAGACATAACAGAACCTCTCCAATTTCCTGATGGGTTTTCATTTAGCTTATAAAATATAAATTCATTAAAAGACTATTTAAATCATTACAACCAGGTGAATGCAACTGCGAGTAATTACTGATGATGTATCACATATTCTGGCTACAAATACGTTGATCACAAAATTATATTAGTGAAACTTTTTTTTAAAACTCATGTAAAAAAGAAATCAGCACTAGGATGACCACAAAGGTAAAACCTGCTCTAAAACTCAACCCAAACCAAACTGTTTAAAAGGCAAAATCGGTTTTTAAGGTCGCTGAAAATCCCTCCTCTCAACAACAAAATGGAATGGAGGGAGGGAGGGCCAAGGACAAACCCAGACACCCAGGCAGGGCTAGAGAGACACACCACCACGCTGACATGCCTAGAGTTGGCAATCAGCCTCAAAGGACCCTCGATGCTCCTGACAACCATGCTGCTCGCTCTTGTCACTGCCCTCCCTCTCCCGTAACCCATTACTCTTTCTCCTCTGTCTTCAAACTTCCCTCATCTCTATCCTTAGCCTCACTTGGCTGACACCCTACTTCCTATCTCAGGAGAAGACAGAAACTCCAGCGAGCGCCACCCCCCACCCGCCCCAGTATCCATACACCCCCAACTGCCAGGTGTCTGCCTCTCCTCCTGCTGCAAGGATGAAATGTCACTCTCTGCTAAGCCAGCCTGTCCTCATCTCCCCTCAGCATCTCCACCTCCCTTCCCTAAAAGCTCTTCCCTCAATCACACCAACATGCTCTTAATTCAGCAGAGGGAGAAAAGGACCTTGCCCCACTCCCACCAGTTCTGCCCCTTGCTGTGCTCTTCTCTGACTGTGGTCACCTATACTTGCCTCTCCCAACTCTCTCCTTCCCTGCTGTCCTGAACCCAGCAGCCACCCTAGCCTGTTTGTAGAGGTCACCTATGATCATCAGAAGGTTAAGAAGACGGTCTCCATCTTTCCTTACTCGGCCTGCATGAGCCTCCAGCCCAGCTGTCCCCTCCCTCCTCGCCAGACTACCCCCGTGTTTTAGGCCACACTCTCCTGGCTCTTCCTACGTGCCCAGCAGCGACTTCCCTTAGTGTCCTAGAAGGTTCCTCCCCACCACCCCAGCACCCAGCACTGAAGTGCACCAGGGTTCTGTGCCAGGGCTTCCTCGGTGTCCATACTTCCACAGTGACCTCATGTCATCCACTAATAACTATTAACCACTAATAACTCTCTAGATGCCGACCCCCCTTCCCCAACTCCATATCCAGTGCAGACTCTGCGGTGACCAGGCCTCTTCTAACTGCCTCCTGACAACCCCTCTCGAAAGTTCAATAAGCAAACTCAACACAACCAGTATGCGACTTCCTGCCTCCCCATCCCCAGTCTTTGCTCCTTCCCATTCATGGCTAGCACTGACCCAAGCCACACTCAGCTCCACCTGGCATGCTGCAACAGGTCCAACCTGCTCTCCCTGCTTTGGCCCTTGCCCATCCATCCCGTCAATTTTCCTCAGACCCCTTGAAAGATACGGAGGATGAACAACAGGAGTAGAGGGATGAGAAAAGAACTGATGCCATGTTCCTTAAATTCTGGTCTCTCCTCACCTCTGTCCTCCTGTTTTACCCCCAGGAGACTGGGAAAAAAGAGCCAGGGTGCAAGAGTCCCAACCACCCCCCCCAACTCTCCATATGCTATAAAAAGCTAGAAGGGCCTCCGAGAGCACATCCCAAAATAGCTTTCACATCACTCCGGTGCCCACTGGCAGAGAGAGACAAGGCATTTGCTCTCTTATTTTCAGTTCACCCTCAAAATCAGATATTCTTTCTAAAGAATGAACATATTAAGCACATCATATGACCTGATCAATCCTAAGATTTAATCAGAATAATTCTAGAATAAACTCAGATGTGGAAAACATTTTGAATTAGTTTTACATGTTCTCAAGCTCTACTTTTGACAAAACAAGCATGCATAATTATTTGACTAAATGATGTTGATTTCCCAAACAAACCCACAGCATAAACTGTGGGAGGGAAAAAAAAATCCAAACCAAATAAAACAAGTCTTAAATGCTAGCATTTGAAAAAGCCTTAGCCACAGAAACTGATGTCAACTTTTTCCCCTAAAAAGGCAAAAACTGGGTTGGAAATACAATCTTTCCTGCTACTACTCAACACATCGTTAGCTAAAATACCTTCTGGTTTTATACCATTCTTTGGTAGAAAGAGAAGTACACTATGTTTATTTTATTCAAGTAAAGACAGTCAAGCTCAAATTCCTACTGCTTCACACATCTATGCTTTTCACAAGTAATTCATACCACTCTGCGGATCCTCAACTCTGTGTTAACATCACCTCTCCTGCAGTCACTGCAAATATCAAATGAGACCTCGCAAAAGGACTGGAAAAATGAGCTCACAGGACAGCATATACAAAATACAGACTAATCCTGAAGTGTACCTGTGACAAGGACTAAATCCCAGGTAGAACTGAGCTTAGGACCATGCATAACAGAAATCACTGCTGACTACATTCAGGAAAGTGGTCACTAAAGTAGAAAAAAAGTGGGAGCTGGGTACGGTGGCTCACACCTGTCATCCTGGCCTTTGGGAAGCTGAGGCGAGAGGACTGCCTGGGTCCAGGGGTTTGAGACCAGCCTGGGCTACGTGGCGATTCTTTTCTACAATAAATCAAAAACCTTGGCCGGGCTCAGGGGCTCAGTGGCTCAGCCTGTAATCCCAGCACTTTGGGAGGCCGAGGCAAGTTGACTGCCTGAACCCATGGGTTTGAGACCAGCCCGAAAAAATTGGCAAGACCTCGTCTCCACAATAAAAATAAAAATAAATTAGCTGGGCATGGTAGCGTGCACCTGTAGTTCTGGCTACTTGGATGGCTGAGGCCCATGTTGATCACGGGTGCCCAGCAGGTCAACACTGGGGTGGTCATCAGTGTGCGCCACTGCACTCCAGCCTGGGCGACCGAGTGAGACTCCAACTCAAAAAAAAAGAAAAGTGGGAAAAGTATGGGTGTAAATGACAACAGGATGGAGTTTCAAGAAAGTAATCTCAGCTCACAAAATGTACACAATACTTCGCGCTACAAATGTTTAAAAAATGAACTAAATATCAAATTGATCTAATGGGACGAAAAGAGCAAACCCCAGAATCACACCACAGTAAACTAAATGCTTGACATCCATCAAGCAGTCGCTACTAAACAGGACTTTTTTGACTCCTTTTTAGGTTCATAATAATCTGTGTTAAGTATGAAGCAATGTAAGGTCTTAGATGTTCTATATGGCAATGACTAACTCATGTAAAGGGAAATATTTGGGTAAAATGAATAGTATCCTTAGAAAGCAAGCTCTTTTGTGTGTGAGAAAGGTTACTTCAGAGCATGTCTGCAGTCATTAGGTTTCCTTTGTCTAGAATCTTCTCTGAAACACAAAACCATAATGTAGGACCATTAATGCCATCTGTAGACTTTAGCTCATCTCGTCCAAGAGCTGTCTGATAATTCAATAACTCTGCCAATTTTGTTACAGAAAAAAATAAGCATTATAAAGTTGAGAGATGCCTCAATGATGACCACTGTCTACTCCAATCTGTCACTACATCTTGAAGTGACTCTAAAATAAGAACCAATAGGGGCTCCTTTTATGGGGTTACTAATAAAGCAAATGTAGAGCCGGGTTCGGTGGTTCAGCCTGTAATCCTGCGCCTTTGGGAGGCTGAGGTGAGTGGATTGCCTGAGCCCCGCGAGTTCGAGACCTGCCTGGGCAGCGAGACCTCATCTCTACAATAAATCAAAAAATCAGCCAGGCGTGGTAGCACCTGCCTGTAATTCCGGCTACTCGGAAGGCTGAGACGGAAGGATCGCTGGAGCCCAGCAGGCGAGGCTGCGGTGGCTGGGAGCGGCCACTGCACTCCAGTCTGGGCGACAGAGTGAGACTCCAACTCAAAAAAAAAAAGAATAATAACTTGTTTCATGCAGTGGGTAAAATTCTGTAGAAAACCTTTAAAGCATTACAATTTTTCTCCTCAAAATATTCTATACAAAAAGAAATGTCCAAACATCTGAAATCACTAATGACAGGAATGAAAAAGAGTTACCATCTGCTACAGTCACAAGACTGTTTGAAAACTGCAACTTGTAACAACTAAAAAAAACACTGAATGAATTAAGTCAAACACCCTAAATAAACGAGGAAGAGCAGATCATGACTCGTAACATTTACAGTCCACACTACCCCCTAGTGGGCATATGTCCTCACTTGCTCATTTCAACCCATCCTCCTGTAAAGCCCAAACAAGGTGAGCACACATCTAAACATGCCCTTATAACAGACCTATCCTGACCTAGATCAAAAACAAATAAAATGGCAATAGGTGAAGAAAACTGATAAAAGCAAAACCAAGTCAACTGTGTACTCCCTTCCTGCTGTCTTGCTCTGAGTCTTCACAATCTCTAGTCAGGCTAACTAGGCCATGAGAAGTTCTTAAAAAGCTTCACTTAAGGGCAACAAATGATTCTCATGGCACACGCTGCCGTCTTCCATTTTCTTCCTCATCTACTCCTGCACAGAAACCTCACAATTTCTTAGGGGCAGATTCACAGATGGAAAACTGAAGAAGTTGTCTCAGACTCGGTACCCAGAATTAAATTTCAGAATAGTGCAGACCAGGGTGTCCCTTTGTTGAAATGCTTTCCTTCCAGTCAGTTGACAGGTAACAAGTAGAAAAGTGCCCCATTTTCCTCTCAGTGTATGTAACCAAGAGAGGGGCCAGATGCCTTGCGCTAGAAATCTCCATAGCCTGACTGTTCCTTCACCCCAAGACCATATCACTATTTCTGTGAAGGTCAATCAAAAGGATGGAGGCTTGGGAGCCAGAGAGACGTCTGAGAGGCCAAGATGAA